ATAAGGAATGTGACTCCACCAGCTTAACAAATTAAGGAAGAGAAGTCTGGAGATAATAAGTCCATGGCTTATACAATAGCTCTACAAAGTCATAGGGACCCAGCTATTTTTCTACTCAACAATTCTCATCGTGTAGCTTTGATCCTTGACATTAACTCATTGTCCCAAAACGGCTGCTGGACTCTGGCACATCTGCATTCCAGGCATAAGAAAAAGAGTCAAAGGGAAAAAAGGCACACCTCATAGCTGAATCAGCCTCTTTTAAAGAGCTTTCCTGGAAGCCACACATAATCATTTCTTTCCTTATATCTAATTGTCCACTTCTATCTCCAAGGGAGGCTGGGAAATGTAGTTGGGGCACATCGGCACCCACAGCACTACAGATTCTGTTAGAGAAGAAGCAGGGGAGGCTGGATATGAGGTGGACAATGAGACGCGGTGAAGGAAATAAAGGAAAGTAAAAAATGGCACAGACCTGGGCAAGAGAGCACAGCAAGCTTACAGTCAGCATATCCTGTTTGCTTTGATCACAGAGCAGTGAAAGACAAAATGTTTAAATAGACAATTAAAAAGACAGATCTGGACCCAAAAAGTAAGTCAAACATCTCCATGGACCAGAACTGAGAAGAATCAATGTGAGTGATTAGAACTGAAGGCCCCATGAGCTCAAAGCCTGGAAGTGAGCAGGGAGGGCGGAGAGCTCAGTTCTTGTGGTCAAAGGGCACTTTTAGGACTCTTGGTGAGAAAGGGACCCAAAGCAGACTCTCTCAGTGAGACAGAGCCAGAAACAGGGCTGCCCACCTGCTGCTGGAGACCATGATTTACCCAGAGCTGAGACCTAGGGAGGAAGGTGAAGGGCACTAGGAGCCGGATTCCTGACCAGGAGTCCAGCCTAGCCGTATGCCCCCTCCTTGTCTGGGTCTGCGACATGCCCCATGTCATCATGGAGCAGCATCTCAGGCTACAGTTAGCACACTCCTGCGTCACCATAGAGGTGACCAAAGACTGGTGGACAGATGGAGAGAGAGAATGAAACCCAAACACTGGCAAGAAAACAAACTCCTCCTCAAAAGAAGCCTGCAAAGTAAATTTTCAAAAACATGAAGAAATCTAATGTCAAGAAAAACCACCAACAATTTGACCAATCAAAGCTTAAATTTACTCCAGAGAGAAATTAAGTTTATGGAACAATATGGCAGGAATTTAAATAAGTGTTTTGGGATGTTCAGAGATAGGTGAAGATATAACTTCAAAGTTAAAAGAAGAAATTACAAAGCAAAACCTGCACAGAGCCTGGTGGTGGCTACTCTGGCTGTCAGACGTGGGAAATAGCATCAACAATCCCTCTGTGTCTCACGGTGGAAGCAGGATTCTGGTTCCTCCTTGATCCCATTTGTGCCTGAAGAATGCTCACTTAATGGCCTCGAGGTGCCCCCAGTTTGGCTGTTCCAAGGTCCCCTTTCTCCTTCTGACCTGCCCTTTACCACAGTTCTGCTCTTCCACGTCCAACCTCAGTCATATTTTCTACCCTATCAATTTCACCTCACCTTCCTGCAGCTACCCATCCTCAGGCTCAAATTTGACTGATGTATACCTGTCACCATGGACAGCTCTTTCTCCTGGACTGACTCCAACATTTTCTGCACCCCAAATCTTCCTCTTTCTTGGTTGACTCTTTCCTTTTCTGACATGCCTCCTAAGAATGGCTAAGGGATGGTAAATTTTCTGAATTCTTGCATATCTAAAAAAAATCATTATTTGTCATCATAACTTGAAGAATAGCTTGACTAAATATGGAATTCTAGATGAAAAATTATTTTTTCCTTAGGGAAAGAAAATCAACCCAGTAGCATTGAGCACCCTAACACCCAAATAATGGTCCCTAAATATCATTTCCCACTAAAGCTCCTTGGAGAATTGGCTGATTACAGGTTTGAGGTAGTAAATTTGCAAGGTAAGCCTGGGACATCTTGTCATTCCAGAAAGCAGAGGCTATTAAAGATTATTAGTGTTGAGTAAAAGAGCATAGAAGCCAACTTCAAGAGGCTCCCAAAAGCCAAAAATGGGACAATTTGAGCATTAATAAGGTTAGTAACTGCAATGGGTTGAAATGATCTTCAGAATATCAACTCTTTGAACATGTTGGAGGATGCTGGAGAAGGAACTCATTATTTTGAAAGCTGATATAGAAAAAGAATCAAGCATTTATCCTGCTTTTGTTTGAGACAGAATCTTGCTCTATTGCTCTGGCTAGAGCACAGTGGCATCATGATAGCTCACTGCAACCTCAAACTCCTGGGCTCAAGTGACCCACTTGCTTCAGCCTCCCAAGTACCTGGGACTAAAAGTGCATGCAACCACACTCAACTAATTTTTCCATTTTTGTAGATTGGGGTCTCACTCTTTCTCAGGCTGGTCTCAAACTCCTGAACTCAAGTGATCCTCCCACTTCAGCCTCCCAAAGTGCTAGGATTTACAGGCATGAGCCACCATGCCCAGCCTATCCTGCCTTTTCTATACAAACTATACCTCAAGGTACCAAATAGTTGATGAGTTAAAGCTTTCTATTTATGGAAGTAATTCAGCTAATATATGAGAAAGAAGTGATAAAATATCACCATTTTTAACCCCTAGTGAATTATCAAATCTATGCAATAATCACCATTGGTGCTAATATCACAATAAGAGAGACATCCAGACATATAGGTGCCCCTGATGAAAGTATACAACACCATCAATGAAGCAGTCTTTGGAAAAAACAAAAACAAAAAAAACTGAAGTTGATCAAGCCTTTCAGTCTATCACTCCTCAGAAAACATGAGGAACAAGTGAACATGTTAATGACACCAGGAGTCTGCACTCAGCAAAGTTCAGACTGTGGGAACCTCTGCAAAACAAAGGACCTAGTCTCTCCAATAAATTTCAAGGGAGAAAAGGGATTAGGAAAAAGGATTATAGAGTTACCCATAGATTAAAAGAGACTAAAGAGACATAACAAATTACAATATATGGACCTTACCTGGATCCTGATTTAAACAAACTTAAAAGGCACACAGGGTGGGCACAGCCCTGCACAGCTGTAATCCTAGCTACTTGGGAGGTTGAGGTGGAAAGATGGCTGGAGCCCGGGAGTTCAAGGCTGCAGTGAGCTATGATTGCGCCCCTGCACTCCAGCCTGGGTGACAGAGTGAGACCCTGTCTCTAAAAACATAAATAATAAAACAAAAACAAAACACACACACAAACACATACCAGAAATCAGGAGAATCTGTGTAATGAATTCTCAATGATATCAAACAATTATTAATTTTGGATGTGTTTTGTGTTTAAGAATCACTGCCTTTTAGAGATACATATTTAAATTATTAGTGGCAGATATATGAAATGATATGATGGTTGGAATTTGCCTCAAAATAATCCAGGTACTGGGAGAGAAGGGAGAAATGATGGGTATAGATGAAGCAAATTTGGCCATAAGTTATAATTCTTTTGTTTTTCTTTCTTTTTTTTTTCAAAGATAGGATATTGCTATGTTGCCCAGACTGGCCTAGAACTCCTGTCCCCAAGCAACCCTTCCCTCTCATGGCCTGCACCTCCTTAGGTGTGGCCAGCTCAGACAGAGGTGCTTCTAGACAGAAGCTATTCCTGGTGTGGGGTCCCAGCCTAGGCTCTGTCTTTGCTGGACACCAGGAAAGCCCCTTTCAGGAGCTGAGGGCAAGTCCCACTCAGAAGTGGGGTTGTAGGGGTAGGGAACCTGTGTCCTTGGAGCCAAAGTAGCCTTTTGACTGAATCCAAATCTTATGGAACAAATCCTTTTAATAAAGGGGTTTGTTCTGTGAAGTTTGAATTCAGTCGAGGGGCACACTTTGGGATCTGGAGGGCCACATGTGGCCTTGAGGCAGACTGGTTCACTGAGCAGGTTACAATTGTGTAAAATGGATTTCTTACGGTAGATCACTAGTCAGAAGTTTTCAAAGTCACTGAGTTAGAAAACAAGAATGCTTTAATGGGCTTGGGCATTGAGGCCATTAAACATGCCCACGGTGTGCCCGTAGCAGGGCCACATCACAAAGTCCCACACCGGAACTCTGCTCGGGGTATGGGCCCAGAGATTTTCCTGAATTAATAAATGAATGAACAGAAGGAAATGTGACCCCCTGTTGGCCCCTGGTCTGATTCAGGGCCCCTTTGGAACTGGGAGAGAAGCTGCAGCAGGAAGAACGGGGCATGAACACAGAACTCCCGAGAGTGCCGTGATCTGAGAGAAACTAACTGGGACAGGGTGAGGCTATTTCATATCGGCAGCCACAGAAATACCTAAGCTAACAACACAAGTTTTTAACATAACCTATTTACATGTTACAAAGAAATAGGGAAAGGCAAGCCACTCACCCCTCTAAAATGAAGAACAAAGATCAACGTGACAGTTGATGCACAGCACATGCATGGCTGTGTGACTAGCGCTGTCTCTGCGTTGGCAGCATGTGCTGTTGGACTTGGAGTTAGCCTTTCTTGGTGGCAATTCAGCTATATTCAAAAACTTAAATATGCATGCCCTTTGACCCAGCAACACCACTTCTAATTTTCTACCTTACATAAACAGATATATTAAAAATCTACATAACTGCCCAAAGATATATGTAAAAGAATCTACACCCCAGCATTGTTTGTAGTAGTGACAAGGCAGAAATAACCAAATACCCACGAATCAGGTAGTTACATAAATTACAGTACATCCATGGAATGAAATGTTATGATACAGTGGTTAAAATGAATGAGGTAGCTCTTACTAGGTAGGAAAGAAAGTCCATGATATATTATTCAATGAAAAAAGTTGCAAGACAACATGTAAAGTATGTTTCTAGTTTTAAAACATCTCCACACACATAAGAAGAAACATGCCCAGCCAGATGTAGTGTGACTCTCTAGGAGAGGAAGAGGGTTGGAAGTTTTACAACTAGCATGTATTTTATAACCAAGAAAAAAATAATGAGCAAGGATCATAAACTTTTATTTAATAGATATAACCAATAATTCAAAATACTTCATTCCACATGTTGCCGGTAAGAGAAAGGAAAAAAAGAGAAGGAAATGTTTGAAATGATTAAATGAAAAGGTCAGGAGAAAAGGAATCAGAAGAGGAAAGAGGCTGGAGAAACCCGCAAAAGAGAAATGAAAATAACAAAGGTAGGCAGAGGGGAGAGGGACGCTGAAAGCCTCAGTACCCCTGCAGTGCCACCTTTCATAGGTCACACAGGCCACTGGGGTTTCCTTCCTCCTTGGTAATAAAAGGCATCTACATTTTTTCTATGACCATAGGATTGAGGATATTCCCCTCACTCCTGCCCCATAAAATAAAGTATTTGGCCAATCAATTGTAAGGTCTATCAAGGAATTATTTAGCATTTCTGAATAGATTTTAAGATCCTCAAGGCCATCCACTTTTTAACTAGATCTTAGTATACATCTGCCACTCAAGTCTGTTGTGTTTTTTTAATTGAAACATTAGGTTGCTCTGTTCTGATGCCTCTACATCACATTTGATAAGAAAATTTACTTCGTAGTTCATACCTCTCAAACCTACAGGGAAAGAATGGCAGAGTCAGATTCGATCTCGTGGTGAGACATGGTAAAATAAAAGTCAGCTTAAAGGAAGGTGTTTTGGGGCCCTGGGATGTGTACCTTGCCATGGTATTGGAGCAGGATAAATTCATGTGGTGCTGGGGCCTCTGACGAAAGGGCCAGGCACACTGTGGCTGGACCACCAGGAAGGGGACCCGGCCCCTCACTTCGACCACTGGAAGGTTGTCCAACAACCCTAAGCACAGTTATGTCCCAAGACAGGTGTGTGTATGACAAGTGTGTGGCAGCATGGAGGCTCCCAGTAGGACATGGTAGACACAAGTGGCACAGGAACAAACTCATCTTGGGCTGACTCCCATGGGCCATCCTGGGACCAATTCTAGTTTCTTAAAAGAGAAACTCCTAAGAAACATCTGTAGAAGCAAGTTGGGCCTGAGGCCTTACAGAGCCTCCCTGACAGGCACCGAGCAGCGGCAACAACATGGAATCCAGTCGGAATGCTCGTTTCTCCACTCTTTATTAAAGCTAGGTCCTCCTGCCAACAGCAGCAGGCCAGGGCAGCAGCAGCTGGCTCAGGAGTGACAGGGACAGTGCCAGACCCCAGCCATGTGGGGCTAGAACTGAGACAAACCAACTTCCCAGTCCACCTTACCTGGCCCTTTCTGAGGCTCTTGTCTGTAGGGAGAGCAGAATCCCAGGACGGAGAGGCCATCGCCCAGCATTCCTGATGCCTCCCTGGGATCCCTGCCCTCCTCACCACCCCACCCAATAACCTTACCCAGCCGGGCGAATTCTTACCGACACCACCCAGGCCCTCTTCCCACCCACTGACTATCACTCCTCCTACCCCGCCCTCAGCCCCTAGCAGCCTGGCTGCTGGCTCTCAGCCCCCAAGGCCATGTCTACACTACAATGGAAGGAACTAGGTCTAAAAGGGAATGAAGTTGCATCAAAATCTGTTCTCTGGCTCCACTCACACTGGCCCAAAAACACGAAGGGAGGGGGGCTTCCTATGAGCCTCAGCTGCCCACCCGGTGGCTCACAAAGGCCCAGTCTGCAGGGTGGGGTGCCCAGCAGGCAGGGGTCTTGCATAGTTGAGTGCTTGGTTTGTCATTGAGCCATGGGCTCAGGTCCACACCCACACCCTGACACAGCCACTGTGAAAACCACCAGGCTCTTAGTGCCTCCACTGACCAGTCCATGAAATGGGAATCTAAACAGAAACACTACTTGTTCTAGTGTAGAATAATGACAGAAGCAGAGTTAAAGGGACCTGTGGATATTGTAGGGCACTAATTGTGGGATGTAGGAAAAAATCCTTTGACCAACTTCAGTCACTTTATGCTAAATGAGTGTTAGGCTCAGAAGGGCATGGCTGGATATGCCCACCAGCTGGAGAAGAGGTGGCAGCCCAGGGAATTGAAAGTGGGAGCCCAGGTCTGAGAGTCTGCACAGGGCACCCCAAAGATGTCTGAGTGTGCCACCTCCAGTTGCCAGAGGTGGGAGTACCAAAGGACTTAGAGAGGAAGCTGAGACTAAAACTCAACCAGTGGGACTAGCACCTGGCTGATCTCAGTGCTCAGGTGGGGTGAGGAGAGTGAGCAACTGCAGAGATTAAGGCTTCAAACTCCCTCGGGACCCTGCAAACACCTCAACCCATTGGCCCCAGCCACAAATTTGGTTTCTGGCTTTTTCTCCTCCCAGATTCTTCAGGCCATACAAGAGAGGGAAATAAATACCCAGTCAGAATGAAAGCTTTCCCATTTGCATTTCCATTTCCCTAGGTTAGGGTTCAGAAGTCCATCCTTTGGAAACCTACAAGGCTCCCCCCCAGCCACAAGCACAGTTCTTAACACCTTCCAGATACACTCAAATTATCAGAGGGCCCCTGAAGTCTCCCACTGAGGAATGGGAAGAAGTCATAAGCCAAACCCACCGGCAGCCCAGGCATCAGCGCTGGCCCACCTGAGCAGCTGGTTGCTCTTCCCTCTACCACCCCCCTCCCCTGACGCAAGGGCTCCCCGCCCTCGCTGTAAACCCCAGTTACAGACTCATATGTCACTTGTTCCCCCGGCCACCCAAATAGGAATCCGAGTAAAATAAATAGCATCGCCTGCCATCCCTACCGCTTTACTTCACAGCACAGACCCGGGATGTCACAGTCCGTGTTGGCGTTGCCGCCCTCTGCCCTAGTCGTCTCCGCGCGCTGCTCTTCTCCCCGAGTGCTCCCACACCGCAGGCCGAGCTCGGACGTGGCGGCCCGGTTCTCTGGGGCCGGGCGGGAGGAAAACCCGAGGCCGTGGGGCGGGGGCGGCGCACTGGGGGCTGAGGGAAGGCACCGCACCCAGGACTGGGACCCTCAGCCCCCCAAGGCCAGAGGAGCTAGGGCGGGCGCGCAGCAGCCTGCGCCCGAGCCGCCCAGGGGAGGTGCCGGTGGCCTAGCGGGCTGCGCTTCCTTGGGCCTCGGGCCCCTCACAGGACGCTCTCCTCATAAGCCCCAGAGGGCCCTTCGAAGGCCGCCTGGTGCTCGGAGCTGAAGCTGGTGCCGCCCGCGAACTCCAGCAGGGTGCTGCCGCGCTCCCCCGACCCGGTGATCGCGCCCACGTCCAGTGGCCCCTTGGCGGGCGCTTGGACCTTGGACGCGGGGGCTGGGGCCGCCGCCTGCCCGGGCGCCCCCGCCGTGCCGCGGTGCGTCTTCATGTGGGTGAGCAGGTGCGAGCTCTGCGAGAAGCGGCGGCCGCAGTTGGCGCAGGCGTAGGGCCGCTCGCCCGTGTGCGTGCGCTGGTGCGTCACGAGCACCGAGCGCTGCGAGAAGCGCTTGCCGCACTCCGGGCACGGGAACGGTCGCTCGCCCGTGTGGCCGCGCCGGTGCTTGGCCAGGTTGGAGCGCTGCGCAAAGCCGCGGCCGCAGTCGGCACAGCGGAAGGGCTTCTCGCCCGTGTGCGTGCGCCGATGCCGCTTGAAGTCTGAGCTGTGGCCGAAGCCCTTGCCGCAGTCGGGGCAGCGGTGCGGCTTCTCCTCAGCGTGCGCCCACTGGTGCCGCGTCAGCGCGGCGCTCTGCCCGAAGCGGCGGCCGCACTCGCCGCAGGCGTAGGGCCGCTCGCCCGTGTGCGCGCGCCCGTGCGCCGTCAGGTGCGCGCGACGGCTGAAGCCCGCGCCGCACACGCCGCACACGAAGGGCTTCTCGCCCGTGTGGCCGCGCACGTGCGCCGCCAGGTGGGAGCCGCGGGCGAAGCGCGCGCCGCACTCGGGGCACGGGAAGGGCCGCTCGCCCGTGTGCGTGCGCCGGTGGCGCGCCAGGTGCGAGCCGTACACGAAGCTCTTGCCGCAGTCTGCGCAGCGGTGCGGCCGCTCGCCCGCGTGGTAGCGCTGGTGCTTGGCTAGCGCGGCGCGGCGCCCAAACGTCTTGCCGCAGTCGGAGCAGATCCACGGGCTCTCCTCCTCTGCCAGCGCGGCGGGCGCCGGCTCGGCCAGCAAACCCCCGACGGCAGGCCCGAATGCGCGCAGGCCGCCACTGCCGCCGCCCCCGGCCCCGCCGGCGCCAAAAGGGTCGCAGGCCAGCCCGGCGCCCTCCACCAGGGAGAGCGGGCCCCCCATGGGCCCCGGCAAGGGGCGCCCGTCCCCTGGCAGCCGCTCCCCGAAGTCAGGGAGGCCCAGGATCGGGAAGCCGTCCGGATGGAGCCAGGACTTCGGGTGCACAGGAAAGTGGAAGCCGAGCGGGTGGGAGGAAGGGCCTTCGCCCTCCCCCAGGCCGTTGCCCAGCTCCACGAACCGCCTGTCCTGCTCGGGCTCCTCCTTGCTCCCTGGGGTAGGCACCTCTGCCGCCGCTGTCGCCTCCTCTCTCGCCTCGCCCCCAGCCTCGGTCTCGGGCTCTCTTTCCACCTCGCCCGCCTCAGGCCCCTCAGGCTCGGCTTCAGCTTCCTCAGGCCCCACCGTGGCCGGCGCCTCGCTGGACTCCCGCCGAGGACCGTCGCCACTGGGCTCCACACAGCCGCCACCGCGTCGGTGGCGCTGGAAGTCGGCGCGGAGGCGGAAGGCCTGGCCGCAGTCGGGGCAGCAGTGCGGCCGGTCGGCCGTGTGCACGGCCTGGTGCCGCGCGAGCGCTGAGCTCTGGCTGAAGCTGCGGCCGCAGTGCGGGCACGGGTAGGGCCGCTCGCCCGTGTGCGTGCGCTGGTGCGTCACCAGGTAGGAGCGGCGCCCGAAGCCCGCGCCGCAGAAGGCGCAGCGGTAGGGCCGCTCGCCTGTGTGGATGCGCCGGTGAGTGACCAGATGCGACTTGTAGACGAAGCGCTTGCCGCAGTCAGGGCACGGGAAAGGCTTCTCGCCGGTGTGCGTGCGCTGGTGGATGGCCAGGTGCGAGCGGTACACGAAGCCCTTGCCACACTCGTCGCAGCCGAAGGGCTTGACAGCCGCGTGGTAGCGCTGGTGCTTGGCCAGCCGCGACCTGTGTGGAAACACTTTGCCGCACACGTCGCATGTGGTTTCTGGCCGGCCGGCAAGAGCAGCCACCGTGGCTGGGAACGCCCAGGCCGACAGCAGGTTCGCACCCGGCTCCCTGCTAGGCAGGAAGGGCTTCGCCTCAGACCCATCAGCCAGGATCCCAAGGCTGCCTGGGTCAAGCCCCCACCCCTCTGGAGTCTGCGCTGAATCCGAGTCATCAGGGCCCCATGTCCCAGGTACGTCCCCCACGCCGTAGGCCGCTGACCACAGCCCCGGGGGCTCATTCTCCTCCTCAGCCACCTCTGCCAGGAAGTCCTCGTCATCTTCCTCCTCATGGTCCTCCATGTCATCAGTCCAGAACCAGGCTCCTGAAGGCACAAGACAAAGGTAAGAGAATATGATAGGAGGCCCTGGCAGGCTCTTGCCCCCAAAACTCACAGCTTTGGCTGCTCCGGAAGCTTTGTGACCACAGGAGCTCCCTCCATTGGTGAACAGGGCACCTCCATTTACAGAAGTGAGAGGATGCAAGCCCACCCCCAGCCCTGAACAGCCCCTGGGGCAGTAAAGCCGTAGCCCCCAGGTAGAAACTTTGCTGACAGGAGGAGGCATGCACATGTGGGTGTCCTTCCTAGGAAAGCCAGGGTTCCTTTCCTTTTTTGTTGTTTAAGAGGCAGGGTCTCACTCGGTTGCCCAGGCTGGAGTGCAATGGCATCATCATAGCCTATGCCCAGAAAGAGACACCCGGAAGTCCTCCCTGAAGCCCCTGCCTCCTGGAGAGCTCTGGCTCTGGGGCCCCACCTGCTGAGGACCTGCCTTTGTAAGCACGTAAGCTTTGCTCAGCATCCCTCCGGGTCTTCACCATCATCCACAGTGCTCCCTTCCACTCCCAGAGCAGAACCACAAGAGGCTCAACTGGGCAAGGAAAAACAGAGGGGCCAGCAGCCCGGCTCTTCATCCACCTGAATAGGGCCCAGTGACTGTGTGCGCAGGGTTTTTGTTTTTTTTTTTGAGACAGAGTCTCTCTTTGTTGCCCAGGCTAGAGTGAGTACTGTGGCGTCAGCCTAGCTCACAGCAACCTCAAACTCCTGGGCTCAAGCAATCCTGCTGCCTCAACTTCCTGAGTAGCTGGGACTACAGGCATGCGCCACCATGCCCAGCTAAGTTTTTGTATGTATATTAGTTGGCCAATTAATTTCTTTCTATTTATAGCAGAGACGGGGGTCTCGCTCTTGCTCAGGCTGGTTTCAAACTCCTCACCTCAAGCTATCCGCCCGCCTCAGCTTCCCAGAGTGCTAGGATTACAGGCGTGAGCCACCGCTCCAGGTTTCCCTGCTAGGTTGCCCCTCGGCTTGGATTTTCTGATCTGCTGTGCATTTGGGAAACGGCCGCAAGCTGGCTAAGACCGGGTGAGCTGCAGGCACCTTCCCATAACAAAAGGTCAGGCACCTCTGAGTTTCAGCCATTCTGTCCCTTTTCCCTCCTCCACTGAGTGCACCCCTGACCTCTCCCTTCTGCCCCTGGTGGGCTGTGCGGGTAGCACAGAACACAGATAGGGAGCCAGGTCTATAGAGTTTTCTTGTTTATGAAATGAGAGTGCTGATACACCTGCCATCACGATACTCCCAGGAGGGAACTAATCTTTATGGAACAGACAATAAGTCACACAGGGAACACAGGGCAGATGCCTGGCCGGCAGCAGCCCCAAGTCTTCCAAAGTGCCTGATCTTGTACACTTTTCACTGTGTCCACGGTAGCCAAGCACTGTGCCATAGCCCACCTCAGCATCTGGAAGGTTTGGGCTCCCACAGGTGGGGTAGGAATCTCCTCCTCACCCCACCCGGGATCCACAACCACGGTTCTGGCCTGTTTGAACCATGACCTGGCCTGGTGAGCCTGGACCACTGAGTCCTACCTTGAGGGAGGGTCAGAGCCCAGGAGGTCCCAGGGAGCCTGGGCTAGCCCCTGGTGTCAAACTCTGCACCCTACCATGCTGTGGCCTCAGCACAGCCTGCGTTGCAGATGGCATTCCATATGGTGACCTAGAGTCACTCAGAAAAACACAGAACTTGGCACAAACCTGACTTCAGCTGTGAAAAAAAAAATCATAAAAAAGGATAAGGAAATGGGTTGTTTCATTTTTTCATACTTTGTAATACTTTCTAAGTTTTCTATAATTGATAATATTATACTATTATAGTAAACATAGCTTTAAGTAAAAGAAAAGTTTCTTGTCACTATGCTGAGTCTACCTCTGATGGCCACTAGAGTGATGGGAAGTGGCTGTGCCCCCTCTAGGCATAGAAAAGGCCCAGTTCCTCCTCGCTGGATGCCCTTGTTTGGCAGCAACTCTCCCCAAATCTGGGAAGAATGGAGTACCCAGGGGGCAGGGAGGAGTTGGTGGAGGGGCAGGTAGTTTGGGATCATGGGCTCATGGAGAGATCAAAACAGGATCTTACCCTTAGGCTCAGATGGGGTCTTGAGTAGCTGTTAATTAGAGACCCCAGTGGCAAGGGGAATTCAAGTTGAGAAACATGTAGATTTCTTAGTGGCCTGAGTATGTACACCTCAGGACCCAGCCAAGGATCAACGACCACCTGCTGGGTAAGTAAGACTCAAAGAACTGGACACCCAGGCCAAAAGAGGGCCCTACAGGCAGCAGTCTTAGAGGCCCAGGGCTGGGAGGGAGGGTCAGGTCTCCATGACTAACTCCATGCCCTTTCCCTGGAGCCAATGAGCAGTGGAAAGGCCCTCTGGCCCTGGGAGGGGAGCCCCCACCCCCACTGGCTCTGTAGAGTGGACCTATTTTGACAGAAGACCTCGGGGGACCTCACCACTAGCTCCGGAGCTGGCATGGCCACTTGTCCAACTGGGACAACTGTGGGCCTGTACCTAAACATGCAGCAAGGTGATGAAGGCCACTGCTGACACTGAAGAAGGGTGAGGAAGATCATCCCAGCCCCTGGGCAGTGAGGCCTGGCTGCACCATGATGGTAGATCTCAGGAAGTAGCTGGGCTTCCTGCTGGGTGGGGGCCAGGCTCTGTCCTCCTGTTTTCTGCTGCCAAAGTGGGCCAGGCTCTTGGCCCTGGAATAGAAATGTCCCCTGTAACAGTTGCTCCAGGAACAGGGCTCCAAGGGAATCTTTTGGCTCTCAGATCCAAAACCCCTTTTTGGATCCAAGTACAGGCTCATCAGCTCTACTTGTCAGCCACCAGGAGCACAGTGGGGCAGCCCTACAACAGCAGCGCCGAGGGTCAGACACGGTTACTTCAGCCAAAACCACAGGGGAGGGGACGGGATAGGAGAGGTGAACTTCAAATGGAAGCTGGCATTTCATCTCCCTTGCACCTAACACTTGATCCTAGAGAGACTGGCCTCGGGCAATGACTAGCTAGGCCTCTGGGAAAAGCCCAAGGGACCACATCGAGCTATGAATAAAAGGCAGAAGCAGATCAGAGGTTCAAAGTCTGCTGTCTGGAGAGGGAGAACCTACCAGGGCTTGGCCACAAGAACATCTTCACAGCCTGTGTCCTGAACTGGGGACAGTGACCACCATGAAGGGGCAGGTGACAGGAGCTGGCAGAAGGATATCCAAACAAAGACCACCTCAGCAGGTTGGGGTGCCAAGGGAATGAATTAAAGATCTCGGATGTCAGTCGTACTAACGATCTTTTCCACATTCCTCCACAAATGCCAACATCTGGTCACAGCTGCTTCCTAATGTGAGTAATATCTGATGGGGTTGATGGCCTTTAGAGGTTTCTCCTGCAAATCTTACTACTGAGTTTTCCATGTGGGCTCACTATCCCACTGTCCTCCACCAAAGTAATTTTCCCACGGAGCTGAAGTCCCAAATCTGCTTGGTCTTACAAGGACTGCATGGGCCAGACCCAGGGATCGGAGCCCCTGTCTCCCTCAGCTCTGTCTTGAAAGGCAGCCTAAGGGCACAGCCTCTGCCTGGTCTGAATCCCACTTCCACCACTTACCGGATGCAGGACCCCGGGCAAGTCATTTAATCTGTTTCCTCTTATGTAAAATGGGTTTATAATAGCACCTGTAACCCCACTTTGTTGGACTGTTGCAAGGATTAAATAAATGAATAGCCATAAAGCACCTGCAATGGTACAGCAGAAGTATTATTATTGTTTCCAGAATTAGGTGGCACCCACTGCCATGTGTCACTGTAGACTATCTGAGGCTTCCCTCTACTATTTATCCCTTGTGTTCCTTTGGTCGTCACTCAGGCCACCCCTCAAATATCGGGCTCTCCCATCAGGCACAAGCAGTTGCAGATTCCACATAAGGCCTTTGCTCTGTGTGGCTGGACCCCACTCCCTGACCCTGGACAGGCCACTAACCAGCTCTGTGCCACTGGGCTGGAGCCATCCTCCAGCTCATGTGTGTGCCTTCCTGTCACCACCAGTGGTTGGTGCAGTTGAAGCTCCTTAAGGGGACCCTGGATGCACAAAGATCCCTGAATACGGGAAGAGGGGGTCTTCTGCTTCACAAACATCATACTTTTACCCAGCATCCCATAAACAGAAAGTCGGGGTCCCAAGCTTCTGCTCCTGGCCCTGGTTTAACTGTGCAGATGGCTGGTGATAATCCCAAGGGCCAACCAATGTCCCCTTCAGCAGAGCTCCCCCACAGACATCTCCAGTAAGTGCCCTGCCCCGGGTCCAGGACGGGACCCATGTAGGGCACTAATAAAATGTCCATGGGGAAGAGGATGGCCCTGAGCCCACATGCCTGGTGCAAGAGTCACAGTCTCCCTGTCCCCTGACCTGCTGCAGAGGTGGCCAAGGGCTGCTCAGCTCACCCCAAACACATCAAGCTGAGCACCATGCCACCACTGTCTACCACTCCCAGGCCTGAGCAACCTCTGTCCATCTAGGAACATGGAGACCCGCTCTCCAGGCCCAACCTGACCCGGGCCTCACAGTGAGTCAGAGTAGCGGGTTTACTCTGACTGAACGGTTCAATTTCTCTCCCTCTGGCAATGCAGGCCCTGGAGTCGGTTCTCTGTGTAGACCCGACACCTGCTCCCAGCCCTGACCACACCTGTGCCTCCCCACGCCACTAAATTTCCTCCACCGGACACAGAAACTCAGGATGGGCTCAGGGAGAGCCCCTCCCTCACTGGTGACAGCCATAGGGAAGGAGGGACACAAGGGTGAGTGCCCAAATATGCAGGCATTAGTGGCCCTCCCTTCCCACTAGGGGCTGCCAGGGAGATGGGGTGGCACCGGCCGGCAGGTCTGTGTTCCAGTGTGGGGAAAGCGGTGGCTCCTAGGCATGGCCAGCTTCTGCACTGTCCCTCGCCCTGGCCAGGCTGACCAGTATGTGAGGTGGGGGACTCCTCTGAGGACAGACACTGGGCCTGTCCCTTATTACAGGCGTGTGACCTCAGAAAAGCCAGCAGCCTCTCTGGCCTCAATCCCCTCATGTGTGACATGAGGCTATAATGCCAAGGACTAAGTATTAGGAGGAAGCCAAGGCCTGGCACTTCCTCACATGCAATTTTGGAAGACCAAAGCACTCCCAGGCCAAGGGAAGCCACCTGTCCTCCTCCCGTGTCCTATCTCCTCTGAAACCTGACCCGGCCCTATGTTCCCAGCACTCAAGAATCCCAAGGTCTCCTCACTCCATCCCTTCCACCTGCCCCCAGCCCAGGGATCTAAGGCAAGACAGGACCTGAGCCCCATGTCCCTTGGTTGGAACAAGAGAAGGAGTTCAATGATGTCCAGCATCCCCGGCAGGGGACGGCAAAGTGAAGGGAAGCCTCATGCTACGGACAGGCCCTCTGAAGCTTCCCAGGCTCTGGGAGGTGGAAACCACCAGAGCTGGTGCAGCCTCTGCCTGCAAGCAGCTGGGGACTGCAGGTGGGCCATGACAGTGGATGGGCCACTCAAGGTGCCTGCAAGCTCGGCAGGTGATGCTCTGAGCTCCCCTCCAGTGCCAGGGACTACGCTTTCTTACTGACCATTGGATTCTCTCACCTCGGTGTGTCTTTACCTCTTGCTGCTTGTAAACTTCATCTGTCTCCTTTCATGTGTGATGTTTAAGCCAGTTTAATCCTACATGTAGTATCCCTTCTATTCTCTACTTTCAGGAAGCAGCAGCCAAGGGGTGGAGGCTACCAGCTGCCCCTCTGGGAGCCACCCCCACACCAGGCTCTGCCTTTGGCCAGCATGACACCGGAGGCTGCCGCAAGCTGCCATCTGACTCACCATGCATGTGCTGAGCACCATGGACACACGGGAGAACAGCACACAGTGCCTCCTCTTACAGAGAGGAAGCAAACACCTAGGCAGGCTCATTCCAGGCTGTGCTGAGGGCTACGAATGCCGCCCACATCCTGGAGTGATGGGGTCTGGAGGCCTGAAGTCAAGGAGGTCAGAGAACACACGACACACAGGGGACCTGAGAACTAAGCCACGTTCGAGTTCCTAGCAGAGGAGACAACAGGTACAAAGGGCCTGAGGCAGGCAGGAGCTCAGAGAGAAAGGCTGTCAGTGGAGCTGAGCCCTGAAGGGCTGAGAGTGTAGGAGCAGCCTGGGACAGCAGGCCTCAAAGCAGCTGTTCAAGTGTTGAAAGAGACCCCTGAAGGGTAAGGCAGCTGGCAGTATAGGGACACCTGTGGCCACATGCCTTGGTGGCCTGGTGCCAGCCTGGGCAGGGGTAGAGCAAGGGAGGCAGAGGGACAAGGACCACACAGGCATGTGGCCAGGCCCACTTGGGGCTCTGCAAGGACAAAAAGCAGAACCACCAGGCCCGGATGGAGAAGCAGCCACATGAAGCCTGTAGTCACCACGGCACAATCTCCCCCAGCCGTGTTCTCTGCCCTGGTGCATATTGGGGGCCAGCAGGAAACAGGGTTCACCCAGGGACAGCGATCTGCTAGGCAGCCACACTGGGCATTCACAAGGGAGCAGGACCTGCAACCTACGCTGGGAGGAGAAAGGCAGGCAGGGAAGGGCTGGGTGGAAAGAGGCCCAAGGGCACTGGAGGCAGGAGGCCGTGGGCCAGAAGCACAGTTGGGGGAAGGGGGTGCCCAGTGGCACTCTGGAGGGAGTGGGCATGTGTGTGGGGGGGGTGCCAGAGTCCAGCTGTCATGTGTGGCCCAACTAGTCAAGGAGCACAAGAGAGGAACATACGTGTGTCTTGCAAGACTATAATCTAGAAACAAACCGTCAGCCGGGAACAGTTAGCCTCTGTCCTGCCCACACCCAGCACTCTCCATCAACTCAGCTGAGCAGAAACGAACGTGGGGGAGGTGGGAGCACAGAGGTGGCCCAGCAGACAGGCTGTAGGTACACTGGAGATGGAAAAGCCCAGATGGCTCCACTGTGCCTGAGCTGTGCACAGCCTCTGGCACTGTAATCCCTCCACGCAAGCTTGTGATACACTGAAGACTGTGCCCAGGCCCCACATCCACTGAGAGCTCTATCGACAGTCAAGGCCGAGGAGCATCATGACTAACCACGGGGGCAGGCCAGGGGTGCCAGCCCCTTAGGAAGCCCTCAAGCCCCAGCCAGATGTGCAGGTCACATGGTGTGTGTCACTCGGACTGAAGGGACCACCTCTGCTTGAGCCTGCAAAAGGCTCTAACCCAGGACCCTCCAGGAAACATGGAGGGCCAGGGTATATCCAGACCATGTGCCAAGGAACTAGCCAAGGCAGGTCTGTGTCCCCTACCCCTCTGGGTGGCTTTTCTGAGCTGTGCACGTATATAGGACACACCTCCCACTAAGCTCCTCCAGGGAGCATTGCACCTACATCCCAGCCTCGTCCTGGAGGCAGCAGCAATATTTCTTGCCAACCAGAGCCTTCCTGACTCTGAAGCCCAGGAAAGGTTCCAAGAGAGTCCCGAAGAATCTGGAGAATCGGGGCAGGAAGGGCATCATGCAACACAGGGAAGACTCACTGAAAATGGGCCTGACCCACCCTAACAGCCAGTGTCAAAGCCAATTTCCTCATCTGTAAAGTGCGGCTGACAGCTCCCCTGACCCTCACGGAGCTGTTATGAGGACCACAAGTGCACATGAAAATATCCTGAAGACTACACGTGTAGGCATGTTGATGGCACAGTGTTTGTCTATATTTTTATTTTACAACACGTCTATGAGCTGCTCCTCCCTGGGCAGGTGTCACCCTGGACCCAAGCCACAGGCACCTATGGGGGCAGGGACCTCCATGGCACTTCCTGAAACGCTGAGAATAACACAGACTCCACCAAGTACCTCAACACAACCAAGAGTCTGACATCTCCAGGTGGGAAACTATGCGTTTAGTTGAAATTCTTTATTCTTCAGACGAAGAAAGTGAGGCTCACAGAGTTGAAGGGTCAGAGCCAGACTGAGGTCTGACGCCCCCAGAGAAATGTGCCACCCTGCATGCCTTCTGTACTCATCCCTCTGAGATCTCTCCAGAAGGCCCCAAACTGCCCAGCCAGGTCAGACCCCCACCCACAGGCCTTCCAGGGAGAGCAGGGAAGGCCGAGAGAGACCCTTCTTGCAAAGATGGCCAAACGGGCAGAGCAGCTGGAGGACTGGCTGGGCTCTCCGCATCAGCAAGGCCTCACCAGTGGTCCACAGGTGCCTTGGGCCCAGCCAGGCTCCGGGCTGACTACATGGTAACTGGCCCCTCACATACAAAAACATCACAGGCTCCAAGGTGAGGACAGAGAATCGTTTTTAAGTTTCCTAAAAGGAACCTCTAGGTTCTCCGAGGACCTCCCAGCCCTTGGGCCTCTATGGAGCTGGAACCAAGGGGAGCCAAGCTGCACGGGCAGAGGTCGGCACTCGATGTCTCTGCCAGCCCGCCCCACACCCCAGGCCCTCAGCACTTAGACCGTCACAGGGACCAGGTGCCCGGTCTGCAAAGAGCTCAGTAAAGGCCAAAGTCAGCACAAACCCCTGAAATTCCACCTCACGCTCACCTGTGTAGACGCCAGTGACAATGTCTCCCTCCTCAGGCCGGGGGCTATCTGGGACCCATGGTTCTTCCCCTTGTTCCAGCCGGAAGATCAGATCGGGCTTGGGGATCGGGTACCCTGCCCAGAAGAAGAAACGCAGCTGCAGGAGGCTCCGAGGGCCCTGCCGGCACTCAGCTCATGCCCAGGACCAGCCCTCCCCACCTCGCTCTGTGAGGAATGTGGGTCTCAGGGGACACAGATACCCAGACAGCACTGAGGGCTTTCAGGCCTTGCCACAGCCATGGGAAGCAGGGACCCGATCCCAGCCGATCCCAGGGACTCAGGCTCAGAGAGGGTTGATGAGCCAGCTTGTACAGGGCAGAGCACTCCCTCCTGCATGCGCCTTTCCCCGACCACCTGGTAGCCCCTGCCCAAACACCTCCACCTGTGAGATGCCTGCACCTCTGCCCCCTGGCTCAGGGCACTGCTGGACCACTGTGGGGTCCCCAGACATCCCCCACCCAACCCAGAAGCCAGGTGGTCCTAGGGCTTCCCTGGGAGGTGGGCTGGCCCCAGCATCTACCTTTGCCAAGATCCTGAGGTTCGAGAAACCCCTTCTCAGACAGCTAAGCTCCTGGCAGCCATCACACCAAGCTGCCTCTTAGGGACAAGAGGCCCCTTCCTTACCCAAGGACACCAGAATCCCATAGTTCTCCTCCATGACTTCCTGGTACAGACCCCGCTGGTCTGTGTCCAGCCTTTCCCACTCTTCCAGAGAGAAGTACACAGCCACATCTTCAAAGGTCACTAGCCCCTGGAAAACAGCCCCAGACACTTCCCTGAGCTGCCTGGGTGAGAGACCGAGGGAGCCAGGGACAGTAAGCCAGTGAGAATGGAATGTGGGTCTCAGGAGACATGGATGCCCAGACAGCACTGTGGCTTTCAGGCCTTGCCACAGCCATGGGAAGCAGACACCTGATCCCAGCCAATCCCAGGGACTCAGGCTCAGAGAGGGTGGATGAGCCAACTTGTATGGGGCAGGACTCACACTGAGGCCAAGAGGCAACATAGTCAGGCCCTGGCCCCTCCTACGTCATGAAGTCTGGCTCAAGCCAAGGCCGTGGCCACATCAGCAGTGTGAGGGCCCACTCCTAGGTGGACAGGAGGCATCAACTGAGTGTGGGCACTGATGCCCAATCTGACTGGGCAGCAGAACCCAGAGCCTGGACAGGTGGCAGGCACTCCAGCTGAGGGGGCAGCCCGAACCCAGGGGAGAGCCAGGCCTCTGAAGTCACTGTCCACAGCGCAGTTCAGTGAGTGGCAGCCAAAACAATCAGGACAATCCAATGGCCTGGGAAGGGTCAGACCCCAGGAAAACAGAAGCATATCCCCAGGGCTTGGGGCTGGATGCCCTGCCACTTCCTGCAGTCCTGTCGCAGCGCAGAGCCGGAGTTCCGCCTGGGCAGCCCAATGCTGCTGCTGCTGACAGCAGAGGTCTCCAGGGCAGCAGGTGCCAAGGCCCCCTGAGGAAACCCTGCCTGGGTTACCTGAGCTCCAAACAGAAGAGGGCAGCTCACCTGAGACCCAGCTGTCAGGAAGTCATCCTCATCATCATCCTCCTCCTCCTCCTCTTCCTCCTCCTCCAGGTCCTCATCCCCAGGAGTGGCTGGAAGCCCGGAGGCCTGCAGGGCTGGGGGGAAGCTCTCTTAGGGGCCAGCTGCCCTTTAGCACTCAGCCTGGCCGCCTCTGCCCAGCCAGCGAAGAGGGTCAGCAGCCTCAGCTGCTCCCTCACTCCCAAACCCAGACCTGCCACCCAGCTCCACCCGCTCGGGGCCAAGAGCTCTCCGGACTTGGCCCATCCCTGTCCCAGCCCACCCATCCCTCCTTTCCCTTCTCCCCGAGGGTGGGCTCCTTTCTCTTACCCTTTTCCTGAAGCACTGGGGACTTGGCATCACCACCAGGGCTCAGCTGCTCCTGGGTCCCCAATGCTGGACTCTGCTCCTCTGCCAGGACCTCCTCCACGTCATCATCGTCCTCCTCCTCCTCCTCTGCCCCCACCTCCACCTCTGCCACCTCTTCTACCTGCGCCACGTCCTCTACCTCCTCCTCCTCTTCCACTACTATCTCTTCCTCCTCCTCTTCCCCTCTTTCTTCCTCCTCCTCCTCCTCCTGGTCAGCATCACACTCTGACCCATCCTCGATCCTCTCCAGCTGGGTGGTCGGGGAGTCTGGCATTGTGTGAAGGGCTGCCATCCTCCCTGGGAGAGCCTCTGCTGGGCCTGGAACAAATGGGCACAGGGTGAGAGGCCGCTCACAGCACAACACACAGGTCCCTTCACGGGGCCTCCCACCAGCCTCTGAGGGGGAGGATTTACTCCCCACATGATGTAGTTGAAGACAGCTGGAAGCTCCAGCTCTTTCCACAAACTTATGCTGAGTAACCAAGACATTCTGAAAGGTGGCCTGAGAGCCCCTCCCCATGGCCCCTGGGATGTGGGTCTCAGCTCTCTCACCAACAACTCCATGCCTGGCATGAACTGCTGCCCTCTCTGGAAGTAAATCAGGCATTTATCCTACAGTGTTTATCCCCAGGGACCATGAGAGCACTGAGTCAGGGCAACACAGCCCAAGGGTGGTCCATGATTAGCTGAAAGGCATGAGCACAGCCTACAAGGAACAGCCCACCTGACACCCAGAACAAAAAGCAGCTTACCCAGTCCTTAACACATGAAGGAGACCAGCGGAATGCCCAGGAGAGGTCTACTCGCAGCCAGGCTGTAGGCACTTGCAAGGCACGATAGGGAGAGGGGATGGGGGGTGGCAGTGCTGGTAAGACAGGCCCCAAGAAGCAAGTGGGTCAGGCTCCTTCCTGTGGGACAGGGAAAAGCGGGGGCCAGAAGCAGGCATTAACCCGTCTGCCCTCATCTCTCGTTCTGTGCAGCATGTCAGGGAGACTTGGCTCCTCTGTGGACCAGCACAGATGATGGAACGTGCCCTGTGACATTTCTTCAAGCGTGGGGATTTGACTCCTAAGTTCCAAAGCCCCAGAGGCTACAGGGTCCTACCCTCCCAACAGTGTTACAGACAGCTCAGCCCAGAGTCTCAAGGGAGACACAGCCATGCTGACCCCTGGAGCCCAGGGCCATGGGCACAGCAGGATGGCAGCTGCAGGCACTGGGGCCTCCATTCAGCTGCATCTCCTTCACCAGCCCCCTGTGGAGTCCCAAGGGCAGGGCTGAGCCATGGTTTTGAGAATCACTTTGTATGGCTCCTTTCTGAGTATAAACTTGACCCACACCATCAGTATCACAGACGTGAATGGGGCCATGCCCAGCACAAGCCAAGCCCACCCCAGAATCCTGGGCGTGAGGGTATAAACCCCAAGGGGATCCTGAAATGTCAGGCCACACTGTGCAGGGGCCCACCCAGCTCTCTCAGCAGACAGTATCTGCCACAGAACACCTACAAGACTGGGTGACTCACATGGGCACAGCACAGACCACCAGCCCAGTGTCTCAGGACGCATGGGAGGAAACTGCTCAGTGCTTAGCTCTCCATAACCCATCACTTTCCTGTTACTAAGGCAGCAGATGCTCATTTTCTGAATTGTTTTGAGCAGCTGCTTTAAAATTCACACTGTAACAGCCAGGAAACTCTGAGTGCTCATGCAGGCCCACCCAAGTTCAGAGGCTGGGACACACTGGCATCCAGAAGCCACCTCTGTCCTGACCGTCACATTTTCCTCCCTCCAGCCCCCATCCTAGTTCCAGTATCACTGGCCCCAAAGCCTCAGGTCACAGTGATGCCTAGTAGGTCACCAGTCTCCAGCCTCTCTCAGAAGCCCCCAGGGTCTCTGGTGTGTGAAAATGTCTGAAACGTAGAAACACACTTGCTGTGTGCATGTTACCCTAGCCACCTCCAGGAGGACTCGGCCCTGCCAGCACTTGGGGACCTGAGAACACTCAGCTGCAGTTTCCCAACCACCACCCACCTGAGGCCCAGACTAGGGCTTTTCTCAGGAAGGCCTCAGGCTGCCAATTCAGGCTGAGCCCAGATGCCGTGCCAAGCACCCCAGAGCTGTCTCCTGGCTGGCCACCACTAGAGCAGCAACCTCAGATGCCCATGGGCCAGGCCACCATATGTGAGGACCCAACAAAAGAAGCGAGCTTCATGACTTTGGAATAAAGTATCCCACGTTCGCCTCACCTCAGTACCTCTGCATGTGCCATTCCCCCTCTCCAGAACTCTCTTCCCCTTTTCTTCAGGGACCTTCTGGAGGTGGCCCCCCTGGATGCCTGTTACACAGGGTTCCTTGTATTCTTCCCTTGCAGCACCCACATTTTTTAATATATTTATGGAACTGTCTTTTGTCTAAGTACAGTCAAAGGAGCTCCCTTTGCTCATCTCTGAATCCCCTCCCATGCCAGACACACAACAAACATTCGCATAAGTTACTGAAGAAATGGCTGTAAAGCCTGCGGTTGATGCGACAGACATGGAATTTTTTTAACTCAACATTCTGGTCCTACCGTTGTGCTCCAGAACAGGATGACCACTACTGGGGGGTCCTTCAAACTGAAAATCACCCCAGAAGCAATGGAGAGTCTCTGCCTCCAAAGAGGATCCAGGGTAAAGCCTCTTCTCCCAAGAAGTCTACCCACACCAATGACCAGAGAAGGGGAGGACCAGCCCCGGCAGAGGACAGCAGTCCCCCTAGCAGGCCCAGAGCCAGACATCCCATGTGCCCCAACCCAAGGTTCAGGACAGAATACTTTGAAAAATGGACTTCAGGGGGAATGTTAGAGTTTATATTCTGGCAACTCAGACCTGAGTTCTCTGCCAGCCCCAGACCCACACCTTCTCCCGTCTCTTTCCAACCTGTCAAACCACTGAAAACTTACTTTGCTCACGACTCCCTTGGCATCTGATTCCAGGTCAGAAGCCACAGGGGGTCAGGTTAAGCAGCCTCATCAATGTAAATCCCCGAGTCATCCCAGACCCTCATTTCCACTGGGGCCCTGCACCCTGGGATATGGTGCTGCAGACATTTAGAGCTGAGTGTGACAAGACAGCTTCCAAGAGAAGGAATAGAGACAAGGACAGAAAGAAGTGGCAAAGCCTAAAAACTGTTAGAAACACTCCACAAAAGTCCCAAACCCAAGGAAACACACTTAGGGGAATAGGAGGATATGTGTGGGTACACTTGTTTCTAGTCCCCTTCTTTCCATCTGGGTGGCCCCACTGACCTCAAGGCCCTTCAGGCCTTCAGGTCCTCCAAGGAGACTTCCTTCCCTGATCACTGCAATCCTGTCTGTCCATGGACTTTGACTCCCCCTACTCTCCTGGGTTTGCTCCCGGTGCAGGTATATCCATAGGGGCCATCCCAGATCTCAGAGGGCTGCCCCCTCACCACTTCAGCCAACTCCCCAGACCTGCCAACACTTGTTGAGCCAAACCAAGTGCCAAGGTTTCCCCACACAGGCAGAGCTAGGGACCTGCATCTCATAGTGCCTGTATCTCCCCTTCCCCCTGCCTCTAGGGTCCCTGACCAAAGGCCAGCTTCTGTCCTACCTCCGCTGGCACATGGGGCAGTCCAGACCCCATCCACCCCTAGGAATGGGTTTCTCTACCCACCTACAGCCACAGAGGACAGCAAAGCAGCCCACAGGGGCTCTATCTGCAGATGAGGGAATGCTCAGACAAGGCCCCCCAAGGTCACAAAGCAGGCTCTTGGGGGCGACAGCCAAGCCACCTCCCTGCCCCAGGGGGTTTATTGGGCCTCCACCTCCCGCAGAGACCAAGGCGGTGACAGCCCCTCCTGGATGGGTGTGTCCCGGGGGCGGCGCGGTCCAGACCCTGCCCCTGCGGCCGGCCGGGGAGGGGCGGCCACCTCCCGAAGTGTCGCGCGTGTCCTCCGCAGCCCGCCCACTCGGCGCTGCCTGCCTGGACCGGCCCGGGGGCATCAGAGCCCGCTCCCAGCGCGCAGGCCCGGGCAGGGGTCCGCGGAGGGCGCGGAGAGGGGACGCTGCCGCGGAATCCCCGACCCGCGCGGCTCTGGCCCCGCCAGGCCCAGGCCCCGCCGAGCGCCGCGGCCTCCCCAACCTCCGCGCCCGGCGTCGAGGGGCAGCCTGGCACCGCGCGCCCGAGCCGGCCAGCCGCACCTGCCGCGCGCGCCGCCGCCCCCGCCCCGCCCCGCGAGGCCACTCACCGCGGAGCCGCGCCGGCCGAGCCGCAGGCCGGACTCCGGGGCCGGGCCGGGCCGGGCCTGCGGCGGCTGCGCGCCCCGCGCTACACAAAGTGACGGCCCCGGAGCTGCGCGGCAGCGGCGCGTGGGCACCGGAAGTGCCGCCGGCCGGCCCCGCCCCGCGCGCGCCCACGGGGGGGAACTTCCGGTCACGCGGGGCCGCCGGCGCCGAGTCTCGGAGCGCGGGGACCGCGGCGTCCCGGACCCTCGTGGGTCCCCCACGGCCCTGCCCCGGCGGCCTGCCCGCCTGGCGGCCCAGGGCAGCCCCTGGGGGTGCCGCGAGGTCCGGCCGCTCCGACCACGGCCTCCCCCAACCCGGCCACCTCTGCTGTGATCCAGGGGGCGCCTGCGGGTGTCCGTCCACAGGACCCGCCCGGACCCCACGACGGTGCAGGGAGGCGGCGAGCCCGTGGGCGGTGGAGATTGGGGGCGGGGCCGGGAGAGGCTAGGTGCCCGCGCCCGCGTGGGTCGGTGCTGAGCGGGCCCCGGCAGACGTCCTGGGGTTCGCAGGGCAGGTGGACAGATGTAGCCAAGGACTAGGGGGCGGCTGAATGCGGGAAGGGCCGGGGCTGCCGAGGCCACACCTGGAGGGAAGGGCCGTCCACGCAGTGAGTAGCCGGTGTGGAGGCAGAGGGGCAGGCGGCCCTGGGAGCTGTGGAAAGGTCGGTAGGCTCGGCGACCACCCGTATGCCTGCCCCCCACGGACGCAGCTGATGATGAATTCTGGGTTCCGCAGAGTCTGGGCATTTTTCAGCCAGGAATGAGTCCCGGGCTCCTTCCCCAGCTCCCACCCTACGTGTGTACCATTATTCTTAGTGCTTTTGCGTGGTGTCTCCCGGCCTTGAACCCTCGGACAGGGCATCAGCCTGACTGGACTAGAGGTGGAGGAGGACTCAACCTTTGTCCTGCAGAGGGGTGCAGTGCCGCGAAAGCCTCGCCTTTCCCACAACACCAGCTGCCCGCCATTCTGCAGAATTGGACCCCTCGCGATGATCATGCTTGGCTATTGGTCTTTTCAAATGTTTCAAAGTTGGTGGGGTTTGGTGGCTCACACCTGTAATCGTAGCACTTTGGGAGGCTGAAGTGGGAGACCAGCGTGCTCACCATGGCAAGACCCTGTCTCTACAAAAAATACAAAACTTAGCAGATGGGGTCATGCCCGCCTGTAGTCCCAGCTACTCAGGAGGCTGAAGCAGGATCACTTGACCCCAGAAGTTAGAGGTTGCAGTGAGCTGTGATGATGCCATTCTAGCCTGGGCAACAAAGCGAGACTCTTCCTAAAAAAAAAAAAAAAAAAAGAGTTTTAGGCTGGATGTGGTGGCTCAAGCCTATAATCTCAGCACTTGAAGGCAGGATCACTTGAAGCCTAAGAGTTTGAGATTAGCCTGGGCAACATAGTGAGGCCCCTGCCATCTCTTAAAAAAAAAAATCAAATTTAAAAAAAAATTTTAAAGTTAGTAACATTTAAAAATTGAGAGTCCCACTCTTGAAAAAGAAACAAAATTGAAAAATCAGAAGTTCTGGCAGCACCGGGCCCACACAGGATACCAGTGAGTAGGGCCTAAGACGTGACCACCCTTGTGGATGGGACTGGGCTTTGTCACCTCCCCAGTACTCACCACTCCCCGACACCTCTCTCCAGGCTCTGTGTGTAACGCACCTGTCTGGTCCTGTGGGTATTTTAAGCTTTCCAGCTCTGGACCCCTAGCTTAGACCCTACCCCACCATACCTGACCTGGCAGGTTGAGCAGGAAGCGGCATTCACCCCAGATGGTTCCAATGAAGGGCTCCAACTGTAGGATAATTAATTAACCAAGGGGAAAGGAAGCCACAGGAATGTGGGAGCCCCAGAGACTGGCAGCCTCTGCCACCCTTAGACCTGAAGCAGAGGAAAGGGCAGAATGTTGCCAAGCCTGGAGAGAGCTAGAGGAATAGAGGTGGGGTGAATTGGTAGGAGCTGTGATTATGGAGGGACAATACCCCAACCCTGCCTTCCCATCCCATGTCACCTGCCAGCGCTGCCATTGGCCAGATCAGCTGTAACATAGAGGGCAGAGGAATCCAGGGGACGCAGTCCTTAGTCAGTCTCCTGGGAGCCAGGGCCAGGGAGAAAACAAGCTTCAGGGGAAGGGTATGTGACGTAATCAATGATTCCATCCTTGCCCTAGACCCCTCCACCTGTCAGGCAGGGACCCCCGTCACTCCACATCTCAGATCTTCTTCTGGCTTGTCCTCCCACCTGATACCTAATCCATGACTCCGTTTCTTCCCCACAGAGATTTTTCCAAGGCAGACTCTCCCCATTCAGCAGGCCCCTCCCCTCCCAATAGTCTCTTCCCCCGTCTAGCCCCAGTTCCCTTCAGCTGATGCCCTTCCCCAGGGTAGAGGCTGTGCAGAGAGCTTTGGCCCCTTGGCCCTTCAGGTTCTTCCCCGTCTCTGAGGGTCGCCTCTCCTTCCTCCTGCCCCACGAAAGGCAGAGTTCCCAAAGCTTGTCTCACTCAGAACACAGAGTGATGCAGAGCCAGGCAAATGTCCCTCAGTCCACCAATTTAGTGTGTCCCTGGTCAAAATCAGGCTTGCCAAGTGCCCCCTCCCTGCCCCACATTTGTGACTACAAGAGTAAAGTGCTTGGGACCACCTGCCATTTTGTAAGAATTAAACGGAAGCACTTGCTAGGAGACTTTGTATCAATGTTTACTTTACAATCAGATAAATGAAAACTCTCTCTCTTCTGACTCCCTCAAGGCCCCCTCGACCCCTTCCATTCAGTCCTGCTCTCCACAGGCCAGGATGGGATGCTGGGTGTGGCCTTGCCAGTGGCCTCCGACTGGCTGAGCCTGGGCAGACCACCCTCCCCCAGGCCCTAGGTCACCTTTGTGCCTACTCAGGGTAGCGATTTGCTGTCCCAAATAGGCCACACTTGGGCCATCCATGTCCTGAAGTCACTGGGCCCTGAGCCTTCCGGCTACCTAAGTCTGGAGCTGCAGGGGTCAGGGCTGGCTGCCCCAGGTGTTGTAGGCACAGACCCTGGGCATGACCATAGGACAGGGCCCCTGCTAGGCCAGCCTCTCCCCATGGTAGACACAGGTTCCAGCCTGGGTCCTCCTGCTCCCTCCCCTGTATACATAGAGTCTTTGTGGCATGCTTGTGTAGCAGCAACATTCCTGAAAGCACCATGTGGCCTGTTGCTTGGATGTCATGAATGTCACAGTCCCAGGCAAGCCTGGCCATTGGCCCTCTCTGGCCACCCCTTTCTGTGGGTTCTCAGGGACCAAAACCAGACCTTCCCTCCCTCTGATGCCTGCAGCCTTATCCCTGGACTCCTGGCACACACACACACACATACACACGCATGCGCGCACATGCTTTTTCTTTATTCTTAGCGCGTGTTCACACATGTATGTGTGCACTGTCTCCACGATGACCTGTTTACACTCACTGCACATGCATTACACTCCTGTGTGTGCTGGGCTCTGCGCTCACTGCTGGGGCTTCTGAAGAGCTTGGGCCTGGCTGTCAAGTGGGTGGGGAGACAGAAGCCTTCTAATGGGGCCACGTGGCTTGCCGAGCTCCAGGAATCGCTTGCTGAGGCTGTGAGAGCCACACATGGGCCTGGCGGGGCAGGAATCTGCAGGGAGAGGACCACAGGAGCAAAGGCAAGAGAGCCTGGGAGCTCCCTGTACCCAGGACATCCCCAGCCACTGCCCCCCCACGCTCAGTGCAGGCCCTGCCCCCACCTGCAAGGAGATGTGATCTTACCCTGGGGCTTTCAGAACTCAAAATCCTGCCTAGCAATGACAGGGTGTTTTGATAACACTTCTAAATGCCGGCAGGTATTGGTGTTCCATATCATGGCTGATTGGAAATCGGGTGGGATTTGATGCAACTTTTCAATATGACGGGCTGGGTTCTAGATGCCAAGTCCTGCCCATCACCTGCCCCTGCATAAGGCACCTGGTGAGCTGGAAATACAAGGAACATCAGGGAAGGGAACCCAATCCCACTCCAACAAAAACCGAAAGTAGGCGATGCTCCCCAGGCCTCCCCTACGAAGGGCTTGAGGCCTTCTGCCAACACGAGGTGAACTGGGGAGGGAGGGAGGGTGGACCGGCCTGCACCAGTCCACCTGCCACCCAGCTGCTTGCTCGAGCAGGAGGAGCCAGGACAGAGCTGGTTGGCAGCCTGCCCCTGGGTGAAGCCTGCCCAGGCCTGTGCACCTGCTCTGGAGCAGGAAGCAGCCAGAACAAGAAAATCAGATACCCGCATGGACGCCGCTGCTTGGCCCAGCCAGTGCTGGCCTGTCAGTGGGCACCTTTCCCTCCCTCACAGCCAATGATGGGCGCTTGCAGGAGTGGGCTGGGGCAAGAGGGAAGCAACAGCCCTCTCAGCCTCAGCGTGAGCTCCTCCTGCACCTCGGGGCATCAGGCCTGGGACAGGATGAGTCCTGAAGTCCCAACTGTGAGGTGCAGCCTGAGCGCTGTGCCAGGAGCTGAGAGAAAGCAGAGGAGGGGTCGTCCCTGGCCTTCCCAGAACAGGTGGCGTCTCAGCCCAGAGACCGGGACACAGTGGGGCAGGGGACACCTGGCCTGAGCAAGAGCCTGAGGTGGGAGCTTGGGGCAAGTTCAGTGGCTGGGGTGGTCCCATGGCTGGAGCTTAATGCCCCTACGGGAACCCCATGGCAGCGGGCAGCTACGGAAGACGTCAGGCAGAGGGAGGGTCATGATTTGTCAAGATGGATGGGGTCGTGGCAGGAAGTCCAGGTGGGCAG